TCTGTTGTACACTTTGAATGAAACAGTGCAGGTAACCAATACTTGGAGTATCATAGGTGCATCATGAAGTCAGTCTGTCTCTGCCTCAGTTTTCCCACCAGTAACAAAGGATGGGATATGATGGTCCGTAGGGATTCTCTCCAAGTTCATGATTCTCCATCTATGTAAAAGGCCCTGGAAGAGTTAACCTGTCTGGATTCCTCGGGTTCTGGCTCCTCCCTAAAAATCCTGCCCCTGGGCTTTCTCTCTGCCAGGGTGTAGAGTGTGGGGGCAGGGTGGGGCACAGGCTGGGAGTAGAGCTATTTGGAGTCTTGTTTTTCTTGGAGGTGCCCTGGAGGCAGAGACTCTCTTCTCCCTCCCTCCAGGTTTGGAACCAAATCTAGTCTCCCGCCTTTATTTCCAAAACAGTTCCTGGCTCAGATGCTGGGACTCCAGGGCTGCAGGAACCTCCGGCTCCAGCTCTGAGAAAACTCCTCCTGTTCCAGAACCCCCTCCTCCACCCAGGCACTGGGGCCTGTCCAGTGGCTGTCACTGAAAGGCATTTCTTTTTTGTCCAAAGAGGTCAGTGCAAAGCAGACCTGCACTGGAGAGAGCTAACCCACCTCCCTGTCATGGGGCCTGTGTGGCTGGGCGTGGAGGTCAGGAGAGAGAGGGGACCCTGAACTGTGACAGATGGTTCCCCTCTCTCCTTCCCGGCTCTCTCATCTAGCTGTCTCTTTCCTGCCCATTCAGCTGTTTGCAGGATTCTCATCTGCCTTGAAGATCTCTCCCACCTGCTTCCTTCCTCACTCCAGCCACCGGGCCAGGCCAGCTCCTACTGCAGAATGTCTTGTCCCCTTCCTCTACCAGGGGAAGGCCAAAGGTGGTCAGTCCCCTCCCCAGAGAGCAGGCTGCAGGCGTGCTGCCTTGTATCCTCCCACCTCAGACTCAGGTCCTGTCCCCCTCTTCACTCACAATGACATGGATCACATTTTCTTTTAATATTTTTTTAGTTGTCAATGTACCTTTATTTTTATTTACATATGGGGCTGAGACTCGAACCCACTGTCTCACACATGCTAGGCAAGCGCTCTACCACTGAGCAACCCCAACCCGACATGGGTCACATTTTAAAACTCTTCATCAACAAGTGTGTCAAGAGACATGGAATGGGTTCTCAAATTGTTCCTTTGTGAATTCTGCCCCAAGACACATACCTCAATTTGGCATGAAGCATCTTATGTGTGTGGTGCCCAGATGGGTCATTCGATTTCAACGCCCTCCCACATTCACCCACTAAGTCCTTCTTTTACCACCTCTCCAGAGAACTAGACACCCCAAACTAATGTGTCCCTCTGTCTCATTCTTTACACAGTGCCAAAGCCCTTCCTTGCCCCCCGTAGGGGCCTGTCCCTGGCTTCATGCCCCTGTCCAAGCTGGGGTCCCCATGCTCCTGTCTGGGGTGGCCTACCCTAAATTCTTTAAGAATGGGTACACACTGTGTGTGATGTGACCTTTCCATCTAAGATCCACTTCTGTACCTTCTGCTCCACAGCAGGTCACAACACAAAAGGAGGCTCTGTGGCAGGCTGGGCAGCTCCTGGTGGGTGGCCACCCCCACAGGGGTGAGCATCCCCTCCTTGCAGGATTCCTACAAACACCAAGGTCTTCCCTCACAAGTCACCTTCACAGGGAGGCCCTCCCTGACCCCCAGAGTCCTTTCCCTGCTTCCATGAGCTCAACCTATAGATACTTCATTGATGTAGGACTGTGCGGTGTTTTTCCTTCTGTGACCGGCTTACTTCACTTAGCAAATGTCCTCTAGGCTCATCTATATTATTGAAAAAGGCAAGATTTTCAGGTTGAATAATATTCCACTCTATATATTTATCAGATTTTCCTCATTCATCATCTGTTAGTGGATAAGGGACACTTGCATTGTTTCCCTATCTTGGCTATTGTGAATACACTGCAGTGAACAGAGAATGTGGGTGTCTCTCCAAGACCCTGATTTTGGTTCTTTTGGATATGCACCCAGAATCAGGAATGCTGGCTCAAATGATAGTTCTATTTTTACATTTCTGAGGGACCTCAATAGTGTTTTCTATAGCTAACGTGCCATCTGACATTCCCAACGTTCTTCCTTTTTCTCAATATGATGGTGAAGTCCCACATTTCTGCTGTGTGAAGTTCCTAATTCTCAGATTTTTCTGTTTTCACTTTTCCTCCCTTTTAAATGAAACATTTCAGTATTAAATTAAATTTGGCCTAAAGCTGCCTCCATACTTTGAATCCCTAGGTAGCAAACTGCCACCTAACTTAATATGTAAGCACTGCAACACAAAAATGTCAAATAACTGAGTCTCAGACAATCACATGCTGCCAACTGGTCAGACTATAGCCATATGAGGCCAATGGCTCATCTCCCCATGCCCAAACTGGGCAAGCTCCAAGGCGTTTTTGCTCCTCACTTCCTTTGTTCTGTCTATAAATATTGCCTGCCCCACATTACTGGGTGATTCATAAATAGGGTAGCACTCAGAACCAAGAATTTTGCTAGGTGAAGTTCTTAGTTCTGAGTGCCACCCATTTATGAATTGTTATTTGCTCTAATAAAGAACAAAACAAAACACAAACTCCCCATTCAAGGTTTCAATCCCCTCCCTCCTTCCCTGCCCCCTGCCCCTTTACATACTAAATATTCTACTTATTTTTATTTACTGTCTTTCTTCCCACTAAAATGTAAACTCCAGGGGAGACTCTTGACTTTAGGCTTCATGGCTGTATTCTCAAAAAATAGTGCCTGGCACTTGATGGGCACTAAATAAAGACCTTTTGAATAAATGGTTGGGAATGGAGGAAGGAATGGGTCTGTACTGCTACAAAGGACCACGCTAGTTGATAGATAGGGACATTAGAAAAGGGGTATCAAGACATTTAAGACATGCTTTGTCAACCTGAGACGTCCCCCCTACCCCCTTGCCTTAATCAGGATTGAAGAAGTTGGAAAGAAAATGCCTTCGTTGCCATATGTGATTGTATTGAAAGCAGTACCTGGCACTGGCTAAGTCCTCTACCTGGTCAGTGGCTCCTCTATGGCACTTAGAGAAGCTCTCTAAGGTCCAGAAAGGAAGGGGCTTCCCCAAAGTCACACCACTGGTGAGCATCAGGACTGGAAGTGACGTGGACCCCCAAGTGCAGGGCAGGGCAGAGGAGAGGTCTCCCCACCTTTCCCTGGGAATTGTGAGTGGGTGGTGAGGACAGCTGGTTATATGATTGACAGCCTCACTGGGGCCCCATAAAGTCAGGCAGGGTGGCTCCCCCAGGAAGGGACGCCTGGCAGACAGGGATCAGATTGGATACTCTCTACAGGCCCTTTCAGCACAGCCTGGCATTCTGTCTCTTCATCTATTTCCAGGGTTAAAGGTGCTGAAGTGGGGCAGGAGGAAAGGTGAGGTCAGCCTGTTTAGTTCCCAGAGCCAAGGCCAAATCAGGGTCAGAAGCAAAGGGAGATTGAGCAATGTCCCTACTCTACGACCAGCCCCATGGTGGCATGAGCCCCCTAAGGACTCTGAATAAGTAGCCAAAGGCTGTGTGGGAACCGTGAAGCCAGCAATGCTTCATACCCAGGAAGAGAAGAAAGACTGGAGACTGAATGGTTCAGCATCAAGACCATGCAGTCTAGTGGTTCTCACAGTGGTATCCAGGGACCCCTATTAGCAGCATCACTTAGAAACTTGCTAGGAATGAAAATTATCCATCCCCACTCCAGAACTATTGATTATGAAACTCTGGGGGTGGGACTCAACCACCTATGTTTGTACAGGACCCTCCAGGTGAATCTGATGCACACGGAAGTTTGGGAACCATTGTTTTTTCTAGTCTAGTGCCCTTACTGTTCAAGTGGGGAAACTGAGTTTAGAGATAGAAAAGGGAGAGCCTAAGGTCACAAAGCAAGTTACCTTTGGAGCTCATCCCCATAGCGGGATACCCAAAATGCTTGCTCTCTTGACTGGTTTCCTTCTAGGAAGATGGGCTGCGGATTGCAAAGCAACAGGGACAATTTGTTGAAAGGTCTCAGCCAACTCCTTTATTTCTGCTCTGGGCCTCAGTTTCTGCATCGGCCCACTGAGCATGAGGAGTAGAGAATCTGTGAATGCATAACATCTTGATTTCCAGTGGGCTGTGCCATTGCTGCCCCTAGCCTTAAGGACACACTCTAGCATGGACCAGAAAGGCATAAGTTCTGGATCTAAGATGGACTAGGTCAAACTCCAGCCCTGCCACCTGCTAACTGCATGATCTACAGCCATCTGTCCACTCTGAGTCTCCATTTCTCCACCTGTGTATATTCCACAAGGAGGCTGTACTATGAAGAAAGAGTCTCTTGGCATATGTCTGGGGTGCAGGAGGCACTTGACTTGGGAAAGGAGCTGTCACTGTGGCCTGCCAGTCTGGCTCTGGTGGTGGTTCACCTTCCCCAGTCACCGGGTCCTTGCTTCTCCACACCTGCAACATCCCCATGGAAGCAGCCTAGTTGCAAGTCACCTACAATTCAAAGTATTTCCGCCCTTGTAATTGTCAATTCAGGTCACATACTTGAATGAAACCATAGATCATTCCTCTCTTCCACAGCTCCTCACAGCCATCAGTCCTGGGCAGTAAATTCTTTCTGCATTTCAACCAGCTGGGTGGGTGAGTGTCAGTATGAACATCTTGCCCCAGGACCCCTCCAAAGCATCTTCTGGTACATGACAGCCCATCCAAATGTGTCCTTAAGACATGGTGACAAACCCGTGCTCGTATAATTATGTCAGAATGAACCCAATTTTATTTATAACTATAATGCATTAATTTTAAAAACAGATATTATGACATTCTCCAGCTATTTGTATGTGATTCAGGATGGAGCAAGGTACAGGAATGCATCTGAGTCTGCCCCACTGCCTCTTCCTCCTCTGATGGCTTTCTGACTGATCAATAGGTCAGCTCTGCGGCCACACTCACCTGCACGGCTCTCTTGCCTCCCACAGGTGACCACCATGATCCCCTGGGTGCTCTTGGCCTGTGCCCTCCCCTGTGCAGCTGACCCACTGCTTGCTGCCTTCGCACGCAGGGACTTCCAGAAGGGCTCCCCTCAACTCGTCTGCAGCCTGCCTGGCCCCCAGGGCCCACCTGGCCCCCCAGGAGCCCCAGGGCCTTCAGGAATGGTGGGAAGAATGGGTTTTCCTGGCAAAGACGGTCAGGACGGCCAGGACGGGGACCGGGGGGACAGCGGAGAGGAAGGTAAGAAGCCCATTACCTGCCCCTACTGTCCCACCCAGGGTTGACAGCATTGACACAGAGGGAGCTAAGGTAGCTGCTTATGATGTGAATCCCTTTCTCTGTAAACGAAATCACTATCTCTTTATAAAAACAGAGCAGTGCGTTCTGAAAGGAATAGGAGGTAGCAAATCCTGTGTTCTTGCCTCAGCGACTGCACTTTAAATTGCTAAGTGACTTTGAGTAAGTTCCCTGAAATATTATGCAAAACTCTGTTGGTTGCAAGAGACAGAAACCCAAAGTATAGTCCCAAATGTATTATACTGTACAGGAAGACCAAGAGCTGAGTTTCAGCAACAGCTAGGTCCAGGAACTTCAACACCCTTGTCAGGGCACTGCTTCTCTCTGTGGGTTGGTTTCATTGTCCCACAGGCTAAAGTTCAGGAATGGCAACTGGTGGGCTCAAGTCTACATGCTCATGGCTTTATCCATACAGCACCAGAGTGACTGATCCTCCCTGGCCACCTGTGTGTCCTGGTCCAATCCCTTTGATCATAGAGGTGAGGTACCACCATTTGTCAGGACTGGATCATGTGCCAGCCCTGGGTGTTTGTGAGTGGGTGGTGAGGGCCACTGGTCACTGTGATTGACAGCCTCACTAAGACCCCATAAGATAGTGAAGGGTGAATTCCTAAAGGCAGGGCTGCCAGGAAGAGGACAGATTGGATGCTTTCTACAGACCTTTCCAGCTTTGGCTTTCTTTACAGCTCTGAACCTTAACCCCAGCACTGTTTAGTGTCAGAATCCCCAAGTGTAAGCAGTAGGGAAATTATAATAACTTATGGGGGGGTTGCTGGGAATTAAACCCAGGGTCTTGCATGTGCTAACCACTTGTTCTACCATCAAGCTACACACTCAACCCTATATAACTTTTGTTGGCATGGCATTTAAACATGGACAAAGGACTTTTGAATAGATTTGTCCTCTGACCATCAAAGCCATCCTATAAAGGAGATATTCTTATTATACCATGTTACACATTAGGAAACTGAGAACCAAAGTAATGAAGAATACTGTGTGATTGCTGCAGGAACTTGAACTTTGGAAACAAACCTAGACACCGGTTTTGGCAAATGCCTTATCCTCTGTCCAAACCTTGGTTTCCTCATCTCTAAAACAGGGATAACAGCAGCACCTTCCTCATCAGGTTGGAGTGGAGATGAAGTAGAATAACACACAAATCCCCAGTCTCCAAGTAGGCACATGGTCAATGTTAGTCCCCCTTAATTAACTTGCTGAGCTCCCATAAGCTGGGAGCAGCCTTCAGATCCAGGCCTTTCCTACCACACCAAACTGACTCCTCCAAAAGTACTTCCTTCCCAGGAGAAAAACTCTGGAAGTACTGACAGTGGCTTGGACTTGAGGAGTGACCTCCTCGGGTCTGGACATGCACTCCAAGCAGGGCCAATTAAAGCTTTCCCAGAGATTTGCCTATGGATCCTGCAGAAGAGAGTGTCTGATGTGGACACTTTCCCCTTGATCAGAGAGGCTATCTTTTCTTCCATGCTTTGGGTCTCCACAGTGGAAGACAGGCGTAGAGAGTTCCAACACGTAATCCAGATAAAACTGGGTCGCCTTGGGCCAGTTCAGGATAATATCCAATCACCCTCCCACCACATACACAAATCTGTTTCCAGAAAGTTCTTCCAAAGTAAAGTTAACGTTTCCTGGAGTCTCACAAAAAGGTAGTCAAGAAGGAAGCGCATCTCAGAGGCCATGGTGGAACTCCCGGGTAAGCTTCCCTATTTAGGTGCCTCCTGGGGAAAAGCTCCAAGCCAAAACAAACCTCTGCTCCCCCTGTTTTCTCAGCCCCTTCTCCCACCTTCTCTTTGTTTTCATTGTTTTATGGAAGAGTTTTGTGACCTTCATCAGGTTATTTTTTCCCCATTCTTCCTCCTCGCCCTCTTTCTCTTCCTCCTCTTCCTCATTTCTCCCAGAGTCTCACACTAAGCAGTAGCTCCGCCAAGGAGCCACACCTCCACCCCCATTCTTTTTCTTTTTCTTTTTTCTTCTTGTACAAATAAAAACATACACACCGTCCCTTTGTCATGTAGTCAAGCAACACAAAGGGCGCAGGTCCTCCTTCATCTCGACCCTTCTCATCCTCCCACATCCTCTGCGGGGAACCCCTGTTGGTTGGCTACCCGTGTGTATCCTTCCAGCATTTTTCTAGGTATTTACCTATGTGTATAACAATGCCAGGTATTGCTAAGCACTTAACATAAGGAATATGTTCCAGAAAATTCGATTTTCAGTGAGAAAATGCCATCTGGAAATCTATTTCCCAAATATTTAAAATATGAAAATTTAAACACATTTCTTGATAATTCTCTAAAAGGTGAAATGCCTATATACGTATATGTAAATACCCTGTCAGGAGGTAAAATGCCTAACAGTATTTTCATTCGTCATCCAAACCCTGTGGCTGTAATAAAGAATAGTGCTGTGTCCAGTGATGTAAGGATGGTTGTGGGCACCAACAGTCTTCAAAAGCAGGACCCTTAGTTAACATTCAACCTGCACTTCAAAACACCTAGCTTCAATTCTGTTATTTTGCCAAATGTACAATTGTATTCATATATAAATCTTTTTCTATATTTATTATGTTTAAAATGTTGTGTTATACTGGGAATCCTAAATATAATTGTTGTTTTCTATGTCATCATTGGTCTGAAATGTTGCACTGAGAGAAATGTATATTTTATGAAATATGAGTATTTTTAAAATATTTATTTATTTGTAGGTGAACACACAGTATCTTTATTTTATGTGGATCAAATCCAGTGCCTCACACATGCTAGACGAGCACTTTACCACTGAGCTACAGCCCCAGTCCCATGAAATATGAGTATTATGAACCGAGAAGTACTCTAGGAGACATTGTTGGGGACATGTTCTGCAGGGTAATGCCAACCAGTACTTAGTATGTTTACCAGCCACTGTCTTAGGCACCTTGATGGGACAGAAGTGTTTAGCTTTGTGGTTTATCTTGAAGGGAAAGGGTTCCACCATCTGCTGTTTCCTCTTAGTGTAGCTTATAGAACATGTAAATCTGCCTCCCTTTATTTTAACACCTAGAATTAGAATTCTACAGATGGACCATAATTTTCTAATCATTTCCCTTTGGAAAGGCATTTGATTGGTTGGTTTTGGTTTTGTTTTGCTATTATAAACAATGCTGCAATAAAACTTGGTGTATGGGGCAGATATATGGGGCTCTTGTTCCTGAGCCAGGGATTACCACAGCAGCCCACGGAAGGACTGATCTGGCAGACAAACCCGGCTGTCCTTCAGAGAGCAGGAAGAGCAGAGGGTGTAAATTATCATGTGTTCTTTTTTGTCCACAATGATTCTGAAAGTTATCACCATTCCCATTTTCCAGATAAAACGGAAGGAAAGTGCCCCCACCATAGGCCATGAGATTTGCCCCATTTCTATGTGATCCCACCTTGTTCTTTCCACTCCTCCAGGGCTCCTGCTATAAGAAGGGAGGGGAGCAAGATCCACAGCCTGTGCCTAGGCCTATGAGGACCCCCTTTTCATAACACCAGCTGTTTCTTCCAGGTCCACCTGGCCGGACAGGTAACCGGGGCAAGCAAGGGCCAAAGGGCAAAGCCGGGGCCATTGGACGGGCTGGCCCTCGTGGCCCCAAGGGGGTCAGCGGTACCCCTGGAAAGCACGGCACTCCAGGCAAGAAGGGGCCCAAGGGCAAGAAGGGCGAGCCGGGACTCCCAGGCCCCTGCAGCTGCGGCAGTGGCCGTGCCAAGTCGGCCTTCTCAGTGGCAGTGACCAAGAGCTACCCGCGGGAGCGACTGCCCATCAAATTTGACAAGATTCTGATGAACGAGGGCGGCCACTACAACGCATCCAGCGGCAAGTTCGTCTGCGGTGTGCCAGGGATCTACTACTTCACCTACGACATCACGCTGGCCAACAAGCACCTGGCCATCGGCCTGGTGCACAACGGCCAGTACCGAATCCGGACCTTCGATGCCAACACCGGCAACCACGATGTGGCCTCGGGCTCCACCATCCTGGCTCTCAAGCAGGGTGACGAGGTCTGGCTGCAGATTTTCTACTCGGAGCAGAACGGGCTGTTCTATGACCCCTACTGGACCGACAGCCTCTTCACGGGCTTTCTCATCTATGCCGACAGGGAAGACCCCAACGAGGTGTAGACAGGGACCTCCGGGCAGGGACCGAGCTTCTGGATTTCTGCCTACAGAGCAAGACCCCTCAACTGTAGGCTGGGTGCTGGGAATCTCAGGAGCTTCTAGCCTCAGGCTGACCTCCTCTGCTTTTTTTTTTTTTTTTTTAATCATTAAATCTAAGCTTTTTTATCCATTTGATGAATCCCTAATTGTTTCAGTGTCTGTCCTGCCACGGGCTCTGTGCTGCACTCTGGAAGTTACAGCAGAGGACAAGACAGAGGTTCCTGTCCTCATGGGGCTTATGTGCTAGTGGGAGATACAATTTACAAACAAACAAGCTAATGATATAATTATTATGCCAGGATGGAAATGGGCATGTCCCAAAAGTGGTAGGAATAATAGGAGACCCAGAGTAGGTTGAATTTTTTTTACGTAGTTCATCTTTTTCAGTTTATTCATAGACAAGTCAACAAATTTTAAGTGGACAGCACAATGAGTTTTTAATGAAGTGTACACCTTGTAACCCCTATATAGATTAAGAACAAACTAGCAAACTATTTCCGGCTTCCATCCCCCTCTCCTGAAGGCTAAGACCTCTCCCAGTCAGTACAGGATACTCCTAGACTTGCATTAGGGTTACAAACAAACAAACAAACAAATCACAGGGGATGTCACTCAGAGGTAGAACACTTGCCTAGCATGTGTGAGGCCCTGGGTTCATAGGTTGTAAATATTCTAAGATGAAAGTGCACTTAACACACCCACCCCGGTGCAGCAGGAGAGCTTAGCAACACAGCACATGAAAGCATCAGCTGTTCGCCTCCTGAGCAGCATCACAGGAGAGTATGTACCTTGTATCCACAGTGAGGGAGAAGATCAAAATTTGAAGTATGGTTTCTATTGAATGCAAATTGCTTTTCACCATCTTAAAGTTAAAAAATTGCAAGTCAAACCATCATTAAATCAGGAACCATCTGTATCAGCACGATTCATTTAAAAAAATTTTTTTTTAAGTTGTAGAGGGACATAATAACTTTCTTTTTATGTGGTGCTGAGGATCGAACCCAGGGCCTCACACAGGCCAGTCAAGCATCCTACCACTGAGCAAGTACCCCAGCCCCTCCACAAGATTCATTTTTAAGCTGAGTCCTGAAGCAAGACACAGAGCAATGCAAAGGACGGGGGGAGGGGCCCCCTGGCAAAATGAGACGCACATACAAGAGCCTTGACGCAGGGAAGAGCTTGGCGCATTGGAGGAAGTGACTGAAGGCCAGAGGATGGGGAGGTGACAAAGAGGAAGGAAAGTGGGAGGCTGGAAACTCATACAGAAGAACTCAAGGCCACTGCATCACATGCCACAGAGCTTAGCAGGATGGGAGAGCATGACGCCAACACAGGGATAACCTTGAATCTGCTCAAAGCACCAGTCAAGTCACAGATTCTAGCACCTCATTAATAGTTACAAATCACACATCAGCCTGCTTCACAGTCGGTGAGATAGACCAGGCTCTCGGCACCCACCTGAGAGCCATGCTCCAGGATGGCAGGAATAAAATAAATCTCGCCTCTGGCCCAGGTGTCTCCAGTGTGCGGGCATCTGGGGGCCTAAGAAGCCACAGTGCAAATGGCTAGTGCTGAGCAGGCCCCAGAGATCCACAGCCCCCCAGCAGCTTGCTCTGACCTACCCCTGCTGGGACTCTCAGAGACAGGAAATGCTGCATGGGGTGGTCCCAGAAAGAGTGGCCTCTGACATAATTAAAGCAGGTTTATTTAACATAACTCCATTTTCACTGGGCCACAAATGATATAGATTGGGATGGGTCTGAGAAACCCAAGCAAGAGTTTAAGACCCAAACAGAGCAGTGTGTAGGTGGGGTCCTGTCTAGCACCCTGTAGGAAGGGCCAGCATGATTGAGTGACATCTTTGTTCGTAAATCGTCATTTTTCTTTTCCTTTATTTTTAATTTTTTTTTTTCTGAGTACCTATGGCCACTTCCTCTTCTGTCCTCAGGGATATAGGCATTTGTGGGCAGTTAACTTAACCCCTTGTCAGCTGGGTAATAGATCCAAGCTGAGCAAGGTGGGCAGGACCCAGAGCTCTGTGGTTGTGTCTTCTGGGCCTGCCCTAAATCCTTGTCTCCTTGGCATCCTACTGAGGAGTGGTGGGGATCATGGGGGCATACCCAGCTCTCTGGAGAGGGGACAGAGGAGCAGAGACCTTACAGGTCCTGGGGCTGGGGTCTTCTTGGATGTGGTCCAGGGCCGCTGGAGATGCTAGGCCCCTGTCAGGAGGGGCAGAAGCAGGTGATGCAGATGAGGGGGTTCCCAGTAGCCACTGAGAGCAAAGTTGAGCTCTGGATTATCCCTTGATACCTCTGAGGTGGTTGCTACCTTGGAAAGCCACTTGGAACCCTCAGGCAGATGATTCCTGATGGAAACCCAAGGGAGGAAGGTGTTCCCAAGAGGTGGCCTTCCCAGATGCCCTGGGGATTCAGCCCCTCCTCCCAAATACCTCTGGCTATTTACTCTGGGCCTCAGCAGCCTGTCTTTTGGCCTTCACAACTGTAGGCATGGAAGAGCCAAACTTGGTGCATCTTTGTGCAATAAAATCACTCTTGATCCAAAGGTATTTTCTCATTCAGGGCACACGTTGCAAAGCAAGCCATCCCCCTCTGGAGAAAGCTTGGAGACCATGCAGATCTGATCACTACAGTGCAAAGAGCACCAGACCCACAGTGCGTCACCTGATGAGGAGGGTATGCACTTCCTCTGTCTAGAACTTCCTGAGCCTGATTTCCCCATCAGGACTATGCCTGGGGAGGGGGTTTGGACAGGCGAATGAAGCACTCTCCTCATGCAGAAAATTTAAGAGGATGCCACAAGACTCAGTAACCAATATTAATAATACTTTAATACGATATATTAATAAATCAAAATTAATTCAAAAAAGCCGTGATGAACAAAATATCAAAATTTTTAGGTGAGGGAGACCTAGTCCTACAAGGGCAGACTGGATCCCCCCCCGTCATCCATCAGCAGTGCTTTGAAGGCAGAACCAATGGTTCTCTCCTGCTTGTCATTTACACTTGTGCCACTAGGGGGAGAAGGTCTACTACAAAACCACCCAGGCAGAGGCTGGAAGATCCACTCCGTGCCTTCTGCACAGACTGGGATGGAGCTTTAAGGCAGGGTCTTAGGCAGCCATGACCTTAAGAAAAAGAAAAGAAATAAGAAAACAAGAGTCACCCTTCTTCTCTATTTTTTTTCACTTAAAGAGGTTTTTAGCCCTGTAAGTTGAAGGCAGCCTGGAACAGCACAGCAATACAGCATTGTCCGGGGCAAAAGAAGCCTGGATTCCTATCCTGCTGTGTGTCTTCACTTATCATGTATGGCTTTAGCCATGTTATCAACACCTGGTGACCCCAGTTTACCCATCTATAAAATGAAGGGCTGGGCCAAATGACCTCAGAATCCATTTTGACAATAAATCTTTATGTTTCTGACACTAAAGAACGAGCTAAGAAAGAGCTTAAGATTCCTAAAACGTACATTAAAACTGCTGGGTGAATTCTGTCAGCATGTTCTGAAAGGTTGAACTCTCACATTCGGCCCCCCTCTTCTACTAAACACTTTTAACAAAGTGCTGTTGTCAGGTTTCTTAAGCTAGAATATAAAGAATAGCTAACATTTATTGCATATTAGCCAGATGCTGTACTTTGATACAGGGACTCTTCATTGCTCCAGACCCCTGTGAGCAGGTGCCAGGATCACCATCTTCAGTTTGCAGATGGAGAGATTCAGGTGGATGCCAAAGGTCATGTGGCTGGTAGGTGGCATAGTCAGGACAGCAGCAGGCACATCTGGGTCCAGTAGTACACTGTCAGCAGGTGGCCACCAGCAGGTCCTCCTGTGAACTATGGGCCCACCCTAGAGGGCAGCCAGAGACATGGGAATTGCCCTGACTTTAAAGCACTCCTGAGTGGAAAGAAGAAGGAACCGAAATATTTCCCTCCCCAAAGCAGGATCCATGGAATGTTTCATTTCAACTCATCATATGTCCCTCGGTACTTGCTGTGGGAAGCCTGGGTATGCATCAGTGGTCCCCAAGCCGGGTCAGATGAGGCACCACAACCACCCAAGGCATCCAGAGCAGTATTGGCCTCCTCTGGAGTCTCAGTTTCCTCAGTCTGGATTTTAATGAGTGCCCCTGTTGGATCCGCAGTTTGGCCAGCGTTGGTCTGGCTACAGGGGAAATTCAAACAGGACCCACTTGAATTCAGCTCTTCAGGGAAGTGGGACACATGTACCCTTTTGTTCCTCTCCCCTTTCCCTGGTGGTGCATCCCCAGCTGACCTGGGACCCACATGGATACAGAATGAAGCTCTCTGCAGATGAATCTGAAGGTCATAGGCCCAATACCCTGCTCACATTGTCCAAGGGTAGGAGATGGTGGCTCACTTATTTTCAAGGGCTATGAAATCCTAGCCACTTCCTCTCACTGCTCCTGAGGCCTAGGCCTAAAATGGACAGAAAAGATCCAAAGATGGTTCTGGGCACACAGACTTTCTTTTTCACCCCCCCCCACCCGCCCAGACATTCTTCATCTACTTAATAATTTTGTCTTAGATTGGCCCTGATTTAAAAATAAAAAGGGAGAGTCCAACTCCCTCACTGGCATTTCTTCTTGCTGATGTCCTTGTAACGTGTGGCGCCTACTCTGTCCCCAACCCACGTGGGTTTTTCCAGCTGAGGCTGACAGTAATCCTGGTGTGAAATGCCCATATTCCACTTGGCAGGCTCTTATCCCATGGAACACATTCAATGTATGAGCATAATTACACGGAGACTGAGGGCTCAGGGCGGAACTGCTGACTTGCACACTAATCCAACCCGCTTCGCAGCTGCCCCATTCCGTGGCGGAGCAGGATGGGCAAACTGTTTTTGACAAGTTCCCACTGCCCAATACTGAGTCCTGTTCCATTGTCATTCAGCCTGAATGTGTGCAAAGAAAGGTGTGCAGGGTGTTGAAGAGCCACCTGCCATGAGGAACAGAGAGAAGAATGGGAGTCCGGAGGGTGCCTGTCCACCTCTGCAGGGTGGTCCTGGGCACTCATTGCTAAGGAGCTCTGGAGGGCAGAACAGAAAGAGCTGGAAGATTTTACCAACTTTGTTTATTCAAATCATACCTTA